TTTGGAAAAGCAGTATTTTTCCTCTCGGATTTAGATGACTTCTAGTGCTCGCTACTAGTAAGGATGAAGTGTTAGAATGAGAGAGACCTGCTGATGTTTATTGCATCCGAATATTACTATCTTAACGGAAGATAGGTCTTCAATGTGAAACTTGACGGAACATACAATGATTGTGTCAACCCAAAACAAAGATCACTATGGCAAAGAAAGTTATCGGACAGTGACATCCGACAAATTATTGCTTCGGCGAAAGCAATAATTTCATCGAGACCGGAACTAACTGCGACATACAGCACATCCTTTGGTAGAGGAAAGCAAGCCCTTTTAAGATAGCGTCAAGCATGGGAAAGTCGATGACAGCAAAAGCAAAAGCCAAGCTAGAAGACATAAGATTTTGTCAACGCTCAGATCTCCATCTTCCATAAATGCTATTAAGCTTTCTCGTGCTCTATTTTGTAATATTCAATTATTAAATCACACATTTACACTATGTAGTTCGCCCTTGAAAAACAAATAAATCAAAAATAAAAAAGATACAGAAAAAAGATACAGAAAAGTGCGAACTCCGCCCCCTCTAGCTCTAGACTCTCCCACTTGCTCAGCTGTATGCGAAATACACGCGAAAATACATCTGCAAACTTCACTCTTCATTATGCGCTGGTTCCTGATCGACGAATTTTATCTTGGAAATTAAATCTTCTTGCCAACTAAAAGAACGTTTGGTACTTTTCCGTTATCCGGACCCATTTCTTCGAAAAGCTCTCATAATATACATTCTTCAGACTAAAAATAATTTTTCAAAGAATCTTCGAAGACTGCCTCCTCGTCACGAGCCACGAAAAAATTGACAAGTTTTGGTCCATTTTGACATGTTTTTTCGGAATTATTTCCGATGAGATAAATGAGAAGTTGTGATCATTTTAAAGCTACTTAACTGTCTTACATTAGCGCAAAACAATCATGAGCTTATTCTAGAACATCTTGCTTGCTTTTAGCAGTGATTCAGGAATGTATTTCTCTTCAACAATTTTCGCCCTGCGAATTTAGCCGGAAAGCTATAAATGATAGCTTGGTACCTTGCTGGTGCTTATTTCGCCTTTCAAATGACGGAATCCTAGCGTACTTCTCTATTCTGAGCAAGTCTAATCTGTTCATCGATGATAGTATGTCATTATTATTATGACAGTTTTCACTTTGAAACTGTTTGATCGAAATGATGTCAAAATTAACTAAAAAACAGATTAAACTTACATCGCTAGGTAGGGTAACAAGAATTCTTGGTGAAACCTGTCAAACATGTAGATGACATGTCAAATTTTTTTGACACGTGGCAGAAGGTTGACACTCCTTCCTGTGAAGCTGGGACAAAATATGGCACAAGGATAGAAGCAATACTTTCTGTAAAAAAATGGGTCCGGATAACGGAAAAGTACCGAACGTTTTTTAAACAAACGCTTTTAGGCCAAATTAGTTATTGAGCTGAGTTACCTTATTGAATATTCTTCGCCGCCAATGTAATTAAGAAGCCTGGCATAAGCCTCTAGTCATCGCACTTGCAATTAGCCCAAATGACCAGCCTTCCGCGCTGGTCATGTGGGCACGATGAGACAGCGTTCTTAGGTGAATAGATGTGCCACAGCCGACAAGCCTCTTCGTTTCCTTTCTTTCCATAATAAGCAGAAGTTTTCTGACATCGTATCGTTGTTTCGGAGCAGTGTCACAAAGCATTTACGTTATTTGTCTAATGATAGTGATTTCAAGGTTATCGTTTAACATAAAAGGCGGTTAAGTGATATGAGTTTATGGTTTCCACGGATGTTACACTCCTGACACTCTTCATTTTATCACATATCATTACACATATCATGGTACCATTAATATTCTCGTTATAACGCGTTTTTGTCTCCTCTTCCATTGGATTTTCGATTCTGCATTCATTAAATTCCCTATCGTATTTTAATGAATTGAGTCACTAGATGTTACATCTTTCTTCTATCAACGTATCTGTTTATGCTGGCCGCTCCAAACAGAAAAGCGGAAGAGCAAACTACGGGTTTATGAGATAAGAAGCGCGCAAAGACACTATACGATCATTGGAAGAGGGTTCATTAGCTAGGCAACTGAGACCTGGACCCACATTTTGATTCTCACTTCCTACAATATCACATTGTAGAAAAGGCTCAACTCACAATTTTCCCTTATAACTTCTTTGTTGCGTGAAATTAAATGTGGGATTGTTGCTTCATGCGTTGGCCTTCTCCATTGGTCCATTCGCGGTTCTATCTCTTTTCTTCTTTTTATTTTAAGGACTGATTTCGTGAAGGTAAACTCCATTTGCTGCTCATGCATCTGAAGTGCCTCTTCATATAAAATGCGTAAATAGAATAGACAAAAAATGATTTTAGAACAGGTCAGTTTTGAAAAAAAGGAACACAGGCACAATGTTCTGGTGACCTTAGCGATGACATCGTCATACTAAAAGATTACCTTGCAAAATGTTTTTGTGTACTCCTGCAACCCTGTTTTGACGCTAGCCCTTTAGTGTTTACAGTACAAAAGATATAAGGCTTCAAAAATCCAAAATCTTTATATTGTAAAGGTAAAAGTATGTCTAACATTACAGCGCCTCGGCACGCATAGTCTTTACTATTGCAAGATCCTAAATCATTCATCCTACTTTATAATTATCAAAGATATTACAGTATTTTTTGTTTATTTACTTGTTGTCTTATGCTCACTGGCCTGCATGTTGGAGAAGTCTTTTCAGTGTCATAAACTCATTCTTTTGCTGTAGATGTTAAAAATGATCATTGCTGTGGAAAAAAATTTCAAGCACATCTACGTAATCAAAACAAATGACCGATTCTCATATCAAGCGCAATCTGCGGACCAAAAATCAGAAATATTTGTTGCCAGCGATTTTTTTATATTGCTTTTTGTGCTGAATAACCTTTCGAAGCAAAAAGCGCGATCTGCCTGTCAGCTCTCACTGATCTCTGATCTGTTTTTATCATGGTGTCCAGTCGTTCTACTCTTGGGCAGCCTTGGGTGATCCATTCGACCTTCAGTGTTCCTTAGAACTGCTACAAATAGAAATTGTTGACAGGAAGGCGCAAGTTTTGCAGTTCTCCAGACCTATAATAACCGTAAGAATGATGCAAGAGCACCCAACATTCCTTTACTATCTTGTTTTCTTGTTTTGAAGTGAACCCTTATCATCCCACGATTCTAATAGGTCATTAATTATTTTGCATTAGAACATTTGTCTCCACCCTAGAAATTGACACTTGATAGCTGCAGCACAAACTTTCATTCTTATGTGATAATTTTATTGTGATAAAGGTGTAAATCAGATCGGTTGGATGCAGTTTTGTAGAATGAAAAGCAAGCAAAAGTTAAGGACATTCATGCGCAGGCATATCAATTTTTTGCTCATAAGAGATAACCTTTCGATAAACTATCCACAATTTACTAATCTATCTTGTCCTCGCAGCTTTTCGCCTACGTTTAATGTCATTTGCTTAAGATTTTATTTGTGAGCCAATTTCACCAAAAATCCTGCTAACCCAACTTTTTTCTAGGTTTTTTACTCATCCTTGAAAATTCATTGCAGCATAAGACCGTGGTGATTTTTGCAAAGCATTTTTGATAGCTGAGTTATACGTGCTCCGTAATCCTGCCATGACAAGGGTCCACTTCTTTTTGTCACCAAGTGCTTGAAAGTACGGGTTCGGGTGACTTCGCTGGACCCTCTTCTGACTTCCGCACAAGAATCACCCGGGGCCAACTACGGTCTCCTCCACCATATTTTCCCCCAAGTCTAACTTTGATAGTTGGATAGTGAGAGGCGCAAGCCGACCCACTGCGAGAGGTTCGATGACGGATGGGGTTCTTAATGTTCTCGAGACTTCCTCAAATTCCCTTATCCAGTGCAAAACAAAAAAACATATCAACTGATCACCAGCTGTATTGATGGTGTGACTATTTATCAGAGCTTGTTACAAAATTTGAAAGCCATTCTTACCCAATTTTCATCTTTTTGTTAAGAAGCACAATTAGAAACAATGCCCATAACTGAATATCAGCATTTCTCATGCAATTTAGACCAAATATTTTTTCACACTGCAAGCCTCCATATAACACAGAATTGCACCACCGATTGATATATACAGAAATATAGTCGTCTTAGATCTGAACTTCCCCACCACACTCTCTTGTTTTTCCGCCGATAAATCTTGATTAAATGGATAAGCGCTTTTATCACAACACTTTCGTTTGTAGAGGTTTTATTAATAATGCACAGTAGAACTACAATTTCATCTAGCATCAATAACCGCGGATCAAAATAATTCTGAAAGAAATATGAATGCATACAAGGTAAAAGGGGTGGAAAAGCAATATCTTTTGTGTGCCCTACTTCCCTCAAAAATCGACTGAGCTCGCCCGAGAGGAGAGGCACAATGCGAGCTTTTTGTAATGACTGATGGCATTTATTTGATTAAGATTTTATGGGAGGCATTATTGATCTCCTCTCATGACATATCAGTTATTCAGCAAAATGTTTGGTTTGTAACTAAAAATGCTTTTTAATATCCATTTTTGAAGAATTTCCAAGTTTATTTCATGCCGCGAGTGCACAAACGAATCATTCATTAATTCGCTACATACTCTTGTTACATGATTAACCATAATAAATTTGTGCTTTCGAGAGTAAGCCAGTTTTTTTGTAACTTCGTTTTACGAAAATCTGGTGGTCCACTCTCTTGCACCATTTCGCCAAAAATGTCAATTTTTGTTCAAACATAGCCGACCTAAGAGTCTCCCCGAAATAATCTTTACAGTGAGTCCACATTTTCAGAAAAAAATTGCTTGCGACATTTCTACATATCGCCAAAAACGACTAGAATTGGTTCCGTGAGAACACTACGCGCATCCCGCCTTGTCGTGATTACTTTAGTCTGGAATGGGTTTGCGCTATTTTTCTCGTTCTGCCCACTTATCGATCCTAGTGATAAGTTCTATTTGTTTCTCCTGGTGTGGCTATCAGCGGCTACCTGGCCTCGCCTGGTCGTGTCTATCAAAAGTGCGTTTTTCTAGCCAGTGTGTCGAAAAGTACACATAGTGGCAGTCGCATAGAATTCAGCTGACCTGCTACCCCTTTGACATCTCTGCCATGGCTGGTTCGTCGTCGAAATTTATCAGAAATGCTGGAGAATAGCCTACACTCTTATTCGCCAGTTTCAGCTGTGATGGCAAATCTCCGGACACAGTTCGCCACCGACAAGACCGCAGTCGAGCGATTTTTCCGTCTGGATCAGAAGGGCAAAGTTCAGGCGAAATACGTGTGGATCGATGGCACTGGAGAGAACTTACGTGCAAAAACTCGCACGCTTGACTTTGAACCGAAAAGTCCGGAAGGTATGGTTCACGTACTTGAGTAGATTGTCAGTAGTTATAGTGTCCTTGCAGTGCAGTTTTGTCGACAACATATGCGCGTGAATAAATTGCTTAAATTGCTGCCATTACGATGCCTGCAATTTGCGCGCGCAAAATGGCCGCAAAACGCACATTCTTAAGTTTTGGCAATTTTTGACGCGCAAATGCAGTCGTAAATTTCGGCATTAAAAGAACGCTATAGCTACATTCAGATATACTAGCTTATATATAGTTATTGAATATACATCGTACTGGTTTTGACTTTCTTCTATTCCAGACTTACCCATATGGAACTTCGATGGCTCATCAACTGGTCAAGCTGAAGGAGCTGACTCTGATGTGTACCTAAAGCCAGTAGCCATATTCCCGGATCCATTCAGGCTTGGGCCCAACAAACTCGTACTTTGCGAGACTCTAGACAACAAAAAGCAACCTACAGGTGAGTGCTTAAACAAGGCCTTGTTATTCGTATTGGATCGCTATCTTTATATCACTGATATAAAATGGGAAGTGAAAGACAACAGAGGAATGTGTCTAAGAAATTAGTGTAAAATTTTTTACCCCGTCAAATGTTGTTATTAGAATGCGGACTGTTTAATGGAAACTGACTCAAAAAGTGGTTGAAGCAGTCACTATTTTTAGCAAACATAATTGCAAAATTGGATATATTCCCAATCTTCTCGCGATATTAGCTGCTTATGACAGCTCAGTATTAGCCAATTTTAAGCTGTCCGACCTTCACGCAAACACTCTCACACAGAATACATTAGCGGAAGGGGCATCTTTCGCTTAAATTGGCAGAAAATACTCTTCTCCTTGAAATTTTGCAAGAGTGCGAAGTGGGGGATATTTCGATTGTGAAGTGCATGTGAAGTAAACATTCTCTAATCTTTGTTCTCCCATTAACTGCGTAGAAATTTGCCAGTCCACCTAGATTAACAAAGTGCTGCAGTATCACCTCTTTTTCACGTGTACAAGTGTACTGTGTTCCATCTGAAAGCGAGTAAACGCGAGTTGCACCGCTACGCATATGCTCTGCGAAGCGGTCGCATTCTTGTGCGTCTGTTGGTCAAGGCGCCACAGGATAAAAAGCGAAACGCACGACCCTTTTGATGCCTTGGTAAATCAAATCAGGCTGAATGTCAATTCCATGTCACAAGTGCTCGCCAATTCGTCAATATCTTCATTTAATCTTAAAACGTAAAGATCACTTTTGAACTGTAAACGTACCCAGATAAAGAAAAATTTCATTGCAATGTGGAACTTTATCATAAAATTCAAATAAAAGTCTATCATGTTATCTGCTGTTGTTCTCAATGAAAAAAAAACTTGAAAGAATGTCCATTATTCAGTTAAGAGCCCATAAAATTAGTAATTAGAGACGGCAATCTAATTTGGCAGTTACGAATCAGATAAATTTGCTGATTTTATGTGACACCAAATTCTTAGTCATTGAGTTTGTAACATTGGGGACGGATACTAGAAAGCGTCCAAATTAGGCGTCCAAATTTCTAGGTGAAGCTTCCCACCCCCGGTTTCCCCCCCCCCTCCCCGATACAGAACAAAGCTTGTTGTTGTTCTGCAAGGCCTACATTCTTATCATTGCTTCCCAAGACCACTGGGTCAAGTTGGTTTATTGCTTGGTCAGCTTTCGGGGACAGACATTACGGCAGCTGCTAGCCTGCCACTTAGACTCGCTATCTCTGATCATTGTGATCGCTGTGAAACAAATGTCAGATTACTTGCAACAAAATCATCTTATGAAAACAATGAAAGAAAAACTAGTTTAAAGGACGTATCGCGCAGCCGAACCCCAAAAAATGTAAAGTTGCGTAGATTTTTGAACCTCCGCGTGTTACATCCACAAATGTCATTTTTCAAAGTCTAGTAATTAGAAGAAAGTGGCTGCGCAACTGCCTGGTGCAGTTGATAATTGGTTTTCCAAGTATGGTAGCATCGAGGTACTGAAGCAGAAATTGAAGAGGTCGCGTATGCTTTACAAAACTTCGTAGCTCAAGCTGAGATGTTAATATTCGACGTCATCATTAGAATATCCTCATGATCGCACCTGCGCAAGCTAAACATAATACTACGCTAGGTTGTCCCAAAAGTGGACTCCTTTTCTAATTAATTCAAGCTGCTTTTTGCTTTCCTAGTAGGCTTAGGGTATTTAGAATTCGATAGAGCGGATCAAGCTTTACAAAATGACTACCAAGGTTCCGCCTAAGTCGCATTCCATGCAAAGTTTGAAGGTAAAATCGAAGAAAATTTTGTCACCTGAAAATTGAATTTTTGCGATGAGAACACTTACAGACCTCCAACTTGGTCATTATACAGTAGGCACACAGTAGTACTCAAAAGTGCCTTTACTGTATTTTTCCGCTCATAGGAAGCGAGAAAAAAGGTAGTGCAAAAATGGCAAACTCCACCCTCAGCTCCTCCCACATATGTCATTGTATACTATAAGCCTTACTATGTAATCTTGAAACATTACCTCTGTATGTGCCCTTATGATCGAGAAATACTAAGTTTTACATGAAGAACCCCAAAAAAGTGGCTTGACATTTTCGGACCATCTTTGTTTCTCAAATTTGAACCCCGGAAAAAATCCACCAAAAGATTTTTGGGTACTAGCATATGTCTATTATATAAAGACCTATTTGGAAATCCGTAATTTTCTGGAAGTAATCCGATTTTTAGGGCAGCTGAAAATATTTGGTTTTTGTCTCTAGATGCTCGGGTAATGATTAGGTGGATCCTTGACGGTCTTTTTTAAAGCTTGCTCCGCTTTATCGAATGGCACCCTAAGTCTGTTGAGAAAAAAACAGCTCAATTTATCTGGAAATGGGATTTACTTTTGGGACAATCTAATAACTTTGGTCCACTTTAACAATTACTGAAATACAATATCCCTCACAGAACTTGTAAACTTTGCAAAATGCCCATTTCAGTTGATTACTGAAATATATAGAGTTGTGGTATAAAAACACGATTGTTTTAGCCACAAACAACCGAAGTCGATGCGCCGAGATTATGGACAAAGCAAAGGATCAACATCCATGGTTTGGTATGGAGCAGGAGTACACTCTGCTAGATATTGACGGTCACCCATTCGGTTGGCCGAAAAATGGCTTCCCTGGCCCACAAGGTGTTGATTTTTTTCAAAAATTCGAAATATCAATTTTTTCATCCCATACTCTATACAGGACCATACTACTGCGGTGTTGGTGCAAATAAGGTTTACGGCCGTGACATTGTTGAAGCTCACTATAGAGCGTGCTTGTATGCGGGTATCAACATCTCTGGAACAAATGCTGAAGTCATGCCAGGACAGGTGTGAATTTGCACTGTATGTAGAGCCTAAAACACAAAAGAAGATTCCAGTGGGAATTCCAAGTAGGACCGGTAGAGGGTATTGCCATGGGTGATCAACTATGGATGGCACGATTTCTACTGCATCGAGTAGCTGAAGAGTTCGGTGTGGTCGCATCGCTCGACCCTAAACCTATCAAGGGTGAGGACCACATTATTTTGAGAGCTTTGAGGAGCTTAACTATTTATATTCCAGGTGACTGGAATGGTGCCGGTTGTCACACAAACTTTTCCACGACCGCAATGCGTGCTCCAGGTGGCATCAAGTGAGTTTATCATCTTGAAAAAAATGCTGCAGGAAAAAATATATTTGAACAATTGGTAGTGCCTTGAGGTTGCAGTATGAGTCAGAGGGGCAATCTAATCGAAGAATCCATCGAAATGATGATCACACTACTTATTTAGTGAAATTATGAATGCTATCAACAAACTCTCCCTTGTACATCCACAACATATCGCCTACTACGATCCACATGGTGGAAAGGTGCGCATACCTTTACCGATAATAGGTATTATGTTTATTTGTGACTTTCAGGACAACGAACGTCGTTTGACCGGCCTCCACGAAACGGCCAAGATTGACCAATTCTCATACGGTGTGGCCTCTAGAGCTGCTGCGATTCGTATTCCACGTCAGTCAGACGACGAAGGCTGTGTAAGTCTTTTACTTTATTAGCTACGGTAGTTGATTAGAGTAAAAGAAAAAATATTGAAAATAATGAGCTTCGGGCAATTCGCGAGTTCTCAGTTGAAATGTTGCAAGGTTCACTGACAATCAAATGGTGGACTGCATCGAATCTGCGCCATATATTATGAAAAGAATTATTCAAGCATAGAAAGCACGTATCTTAAAATGACTTAATCTGTCTTTTTCTGAGTTTTGGTACTTGTAACGCAAAGGCGGAAGTTAAATTCTAAAATGAGAGTCAAAGGTCTTGGTATCGTTCAAAAAGTCATTCTTATTTTAAAATGATTATATTTGGCTGCAACATTAATTGACTGATTTGTTGCATTTCTGCTACTCTCTATACCTAGCTTCGGTGGTTACATCCCTGTACATAGGCTTTTAGAACTTGTCTTTCCCTCAAAGTAACGAATCAGTGCAATAGAAGATGTAGTAATTCAAACATTGTGAACGGAAAGCTCCTCGGAAGCAGCTCTCTCAAAGCAAATTTGGTGGTATACGAGTTGAATTGATGTTGAAGTTCTTTCTAGTAAAGTTGTATGTTTTGGAAAGATAGACGGGAGATATGGGAGCAGGTCTATTCTTAAAAGTGTCTCTCTTGCGTTTTGAAGCAAACTGAAGTGATGCAATCGATTTACGGTACATATAGCACACAATTTGATCGTAATGAAAGTTAGTTCGGGGATAACACTAAGCCCACGAGGTAAATTGTATGAAGTACCAAAGAAACAAATTTTTGTGTACTATGAATGTCAGTAAATCACTTAAAGACTAGCTCTCAAGCTTTCGCGCGAAAGACTACGCGGGTGTAAACCTCATTGAGAAGAGGGGAGTAAGGGCTAAGGGTGAGAGAATAACACAGAATAACCCATAAAAACCTTTTTATGGGTTATTCTGTGTTTTTAATGCTCTGATTCGCAAACAAAATTCTTCGGAGCTTGACTATATTTTCGAAACTTGCAGTCTTAGGTCTCGGGCATACTTCATGCGATTTCACTCGCATTTGGCACTCCACTATCTTATAATCATCGCGAGCCCACTGTGAACTCAGATACAGAAGATAGGCGCTCTGTCATCTACTAAAGCTTTATGCACTATGTGCTTTAGTCTGTGTTGCATCTGAAGACATCTGGCAAATTGCCAGGTCACTTCGCGACTGTCGTTTCAAGCATGCCTGGGCCTTACCGTTACACCTTCATAACTCACTTTTTAGGGCTACTTCGAGGACCGCCGTCCCTCGTCGAACTGCGATCCGTACAACGTCATCGGTGCTCTGGTTCGTACCGTGTGCTTGGCTGGAGATGACAGAAAACTTTCCATGATCTATGTTCCTTCGGCTGTTAACAACGCCGCCCCCACCAAACCCTCCCATTAGAAAACTCTAGCTCCTTTATATTCCCTTCACTGAAGTTATTCTCAAGTGTGCGCCCTCAGGCTCATATCATATAGCTCTCATAATTTTAGTCAAATGATTTGACTTCTTAAATCACTAAATGAAATGTATCGATTGGTGCCATGTCGTATGTGCTCATCAACTTTTATTCAGAAATTCTTTTGACATTGTACAGATTGATGGAATAACAATGTTAAGTTTTTCTGTACGGTAGGTTTCTGGATGTCTGATTTCCAGCAAAAATAATTGAACGGTCTAAAGTGAAGTAAATGTTTGTGTTTTTACTGCGAGCTGGCGACCTTTCGGGGAAAGGGGGAAGTGAAGACTGTATCTGTAGGTTTACAGAAAGAAGAGACCCTCACTCATACTGAACACATTTTATTCTAGCAAATTTCAAAATCTTGCTGTGACCAAATAAGAACCGCGTTTCCTGGTGGAACCCTTGTTTATGATCCATAATCTCGAAAGTAGTCAGCCGCAGTGGAAGGGAAACTCATTATTTCCTGCCCCTGATGCAAAGAACTAACCTATATGCTACGCCAACTCATTTATTAGCGTTCATCACTTCTCATAAATTTTATAAGCTTCTGAGATTGAGCTGAATCATTTCCAAAATCGCTACGTCTAGGTAGAAAGATATAAACACCTATATTGAGGTTGTTATCAATAGGGTTATCACGTGAAATATTACAAGGAGGGCTCGGCACGAGGCACCAGGGAAATTTCAGAACGAAGTCTTGTTTGATCTTGAAAATGTCGTACGAAGTCCCCTTTGACCTGTTTTGAAGACCCGTCATTATTTTTAGTTTATGTAAAAGTATGTAGTAGGGTTTTCATGAATGCTGATTTCATGGAAGAACTTTTCACATCTTTCTGAGCTTTTTAAGTGGTTAAATTACATGTTGAGAAGCAGAAAAAGCCGACTTTCCAGCTGCGGAACATACCGAGTAATTTTCAGATGGCTATAAAACGCTGAAAAGAAAACATTATGAAACTGTTTCTTTTCCGTATGTAAACTTTCACAGTGTAGATACATTTTATATATAAAAGTATCTTATGTGAGCAAAGTGTTGGTGCCAGCTCAGCTGGCACCTAGCACGGTGCCAACTAGTTCAAAAAAAGTTCAGCACAGCTTTCATTCGCATAAGTTTTCATAATTTTTTGGGCCATAGTTCGCGTCCTCCAAGGCGCAGGCACACACCAAATTTGGTTCATACCATTGTTCTGGCTGAATACAAGCCTTCGTTTGTTTGATGGACAGCATGCCGGTGGCATGCCGGCGGCATTCTTGCGGCTCTTCTCCGCCCCAGAACCCCGAAAAAACAATATTCCGCCCTACAAACGATATCCAGCTTGACCCGGTGCCAGCTGTGCCGAGCCCTGATTACAAAAGATGATGTCGCTTATGTGTTGTGGACGAATTATGCTGCGTAGATATTTATCATTTATCACTAGCAACACCAAATTTTGAAGTAAAATTTATGGAAGAGACTACAAGCACAATCTTTACACCTGCAGTACGGTCAGTCTTACTTCTTACCAAAGAACCCTTACCACACCGCATAGTCTCAAGAAAACTCAAGTTTTGCATATTAGAAGTAAAGAGACGAAACAATACGCTACGTTGATAAAAAGAAATGTACATGATAACCGTGGAAAGATACTATGCGCATCTTTTATTATAATATAATTCATGTTGCGACACATAGTAAAAAAATTCAAAAGTTTGTTTACTCCTTGAGAAAGTATCCATAAAACTCCTAAAAAAGTCCCCTTTTTGGTTAGGTTGGTCCACTAGCTATGTAGTGCAGCAATAATTTTTGTTTTCTATGTATCCTGGATAGGTTTCGATATATTACCTGATAAAGCAAAGCTGACTATAAGATGATCTTTGGAGGTTTGCACAAACTTTGATCCATGCAAAGTTTGAAGCTAAAAACTAAAAAAAATTTATGCTTCCGAAAAGCTAAAGAAAATATGAAAGAATATTCACCCCTCCAACTTCGGGCACAAAGCAGCAAAAAACGAACAAAACTCATGCAAAAAACTGCCAAAATGAAAATTCAAAATTGTACTTCTAAACGCTTGTTATAGCCGTAAGAAAAAAATTGACACCTGCTTACATAAAAGTTCCATATGAAATGTGAGCGTGAGCGAGTGAGGATTTTCGTAAGATTCGAACGGAGATGCGATATTTTTTCGATTTTTCCTTGGTTTTCGCCCGAAAGTTTTTTTTAGTTTTTTCCCTTTTCCAAAAATGCGTTGTAGAGCTAGCTTTGCTCTATGAAATAATATACTGAAACCTACCTAAGAGTGAATTATTACAGTTCGTATCTAATATTACGATGCAAGACTAGATTGGACCAATCTAATTATTCTCACAAAGCTGTTTCAAAAATGGCAGGTGAAGACAGCAGTTATTTAAACTTGGGATGATTTTGAATATTGAAATTTTCATGCTCTCTTGCAAGCAATTTGCGTGCAATGGGAGATTTCCATCCAGAAACAACTCTTTTGCCTGCATGCGTTCCTGGCAGAGGAAAATTGCCGATCAATGCATGGCGGCTTGGGCGTCGCCCTCGATGTCTGAACTATGTGACTAGACTAGAATGTAGCCGCGGCAGCCTTTAACTATGTAGTTTTTCAGCAGTTTGTTTGCTTACTTTTGGATCTTTCATCTGCACAAAGTTGTTCTATATGCTCTTGTATTTGATAAATTCAAAAAGAAATGCATTGGCTACACTTGACTTTATGAAAACACTTTCTCATAAAAGTATATTCGTCCAGCACTTCTTCAACCATGATTTGAGAATTCTTGAACTACCTCTCTAATCCATAGGGATTCTGTTATTTTGCTTCTAGCCACTTTATTTCATAATAATAATATTATTCTATTTTATGCTTGCGACATATAGTAAAAAAAATTCAAAAGTTTGGATACTGCGTACTCTATTTTTCTACCAATCAGAAGTGCCAGGATTCGACACAGGCATATAAAAATGCTGGATAATGCTTTTGGGACAAAAGCGAAGGGGATATCGTTCTTGTAGGTCTGAAAGGTTTTTTTAACTTGCGTTTCGTATTTTTTGAACAATAATATTTCGAGTCAAAGTGGATTTCGTAAAATTTTAAAAGTCAGGGTTTTTTTTGTATAATCGGAAAGCCGCCTCGTGCCGAGCCCTGATAGCTCCTTTTACTGACTGTGACTAACAACAATGTAACGCAGTATTTATTCACCAACTTCCCTTCACCAAATACTCGGCACGAAGGTTGAATTAGAGTTTGTTTATGAAAAGTCTTTGCTGCGGTTTTGCTAAAGTTGAAGGATGATCTCTGGCTTCATATGAAACCTTATGATTCTTCTTCCAAGCGATAGAGATAGTTTTATCACACCCATTCTTCGGTATTGAAATTACTTTGAGGTACCTTTCACCAAGGTGTGCTTGTCTGCTACTAGAGAAAGGATCCAATAGCCTAAAATTTCTTGTGACGCTTCCATGGCACCATAATATTTTGTTCCGTATTGACTACTTTTGACTCCAACACTGTAACACCACGAATCGGGAGGACAGATTGCCTACTTTATTGACTCTGAAATCTCCTAACGGCCGAATGAGCTCTAGTGCTGAAACAAATCAATGGTCGTGTTGAGTAGAGCACTTGTGGAGGGTATACGCGTACCAAGGGCTCCCTTCTAGTGCAAGCGCTGTGCTCCGGTAGTCGAATGTTCATCTTTTCGCTCATAATTATACTCAGCCAATTTTCCGGTGTCCGAGCAGCAACCGCATCGACCCCCTCACTTAGAAATGCCATTAGCAAGAGTTAGCAATCCAGGTGCACTGAACATATATCCGCAGTCAGAAAATGCTCGAGAGATTCATTGCGTACGACTTTTTTGCGGTTGTTTGCGGATCGTTTCTCATGCATTTTGTTTTTTTCTAGTCTTATGGTTTAACAAGAACTTCAGCAATAACTGTAAGGTATTGTTGAGGACTTCAGAACTCACTTTTTTAGTCGCAAGTGAACAAGGCGTAACTGCCTTGTTCTTTTTAAGTTTCATAGACTAGCAGTAAGAAATAACCAGTTCCTAGACGAAATAATCCTTAGAATATCTCATTGTCATAACTTTCACCAGCCCGATGGCATTCCCTATTCAAACTGTTATCTCACACCCTTCTTACCATCTTTGCTCGCTACAGTTTGATAACGGTATCCCCTCGAGCAAACAATTTTGCTGACGCAAATCTTTCCCTATCTTGCCGACTTCAAATATCTTCAGCACGATCAAATACTGGCTCTCATTTCAGCTGAATTTCATGGATTCATCACGGTGATGCTCTCTTAAATGTTGAGAGCGTTTCGGACCGTCGATATGCAACAGAAGGTGTTCACAGAAGAACACTTTTACAGTCTCTAGCACCACCCATGCGCTCATTGCTAGAATAACATCAATCGATGCAAAGTATTAAACCTTAACTTGAAACGTAATGTTTCATCCAATTTTAACGTCGAATATAACGTCTTCATTTATTTCAAAGCAACGGATTTGTTTTCAAAAAAAGGGGATTATCTTCTTTCCTATTCGGTCAATCTAACTGACTTTATGAGACCAGAATACCTCGCAAGTGCACACAACTTTTATGCTTTCAAAATTTGATGTTTTCGCTTTTTCTCTTAAACCGACTAAACTGCTTATCTGAAATTTGGTCCACTTTCGTAAATCTAGAAAATACGAGATCTTATTATTTTTACGATAAATGCTTTTGCGCGCTTAATTCTGCGCTCCGATAATGCGATTACACCAGTAATGAAGTGCTTTCAGTTTGGTTGTTCTTTGATTTTGTTGTCATTTCATACCAATCACCCGTAATCTTCGCATCTCTGGTTTCTGCTGTCGAATTGTAGCGATAGTCTGGTTTGTGTCAGGTAGCCCGACAGAACTAGTTTTCCATAGGTAAATAATAAAATCTTTGACAGTTTCTGTCATTATTATTACAGTTCCGCTGTTTCTATATTGCATGTTTTTTTCTTCTAGTTCAGAGCAACTACAAAATTGCATTATTTGTTGTGGCGATCTTTCTACAGTGGTGATCAAAACTTAACGCATATTGTTCTTTTGTCAGGTCGTTATGAGTTTTGTCCATCATTTTAGGCTTCAGCATAGTCACATGAAACAAAGGTAATTTTTCAACAGCACAATTCCCAGTTTTCCTTTTCAAATTCTCTAATTCTTTATTGTTTTTTATAAATTACTTGCATTTGGTCGTATCTTTTTCGGTTGTGATGGGTACATTATCCCGCGTGCGTTGTTTCTTTCGCTCATACGTCATCGCAGTAGCGAGCTTTTGCTTTTTTGTTCCTCAAATGTCTAGGACAACGCCCATACTAACAGTATTTCATCGTTCAGATGGTACACCTTGAGTGTAATAAAGATAAAGATAAAGATAAAAGATAAAATTGTTGTTCGTGGATTTGCGGGAATAATAGTAATATGAACGCATTTCTGAAGCTTAGCTCTACAATAATGCAAGTTGTTTTGCCAAAATTTATTTGGAAAATATTTAGAAAATACAAATCTTCATGTGTTTCACATACTGCAGATCGCTAACATTCAATAAATTGGAAATGTGGAAAAATTATGAAATTATGAAAGTTTTTTTCCGTTGAATGTAACAAAACATGTATAACAGCCTAATATCTACTTGCGCCCTCTACTTGCAACTTTCTCTCGTTAGCATGTTACGCCATGTTTTAGCCTGTCCAGCCGAGTCTTTCATGATCGCACTTCCGTTTTCTTTTCGCTTCCTTTCACTCGGTTAGCATTTTCTACCTTGCTTTGTTCATACTTGCTCTATAAAACTTCATATTTGAATTTTGCACAGGAATGACTTTTTCGCTCAAACTTATCACTGTTGAACAACTTCTGTAATAATATCATCTCCATCGCAGATGAGTTTGCTGAGCTATGCAGTGTTTTTCGGCGTCTCCGCCCTTTTGATTCATTATGGTATGGAAATGGTTCGTCCGAAAGAACCGATTCATGTAGTTGGAGAAGTTAACAGCAAATTTGACAGCGTTCGAAAAGCTTTTGAGTGAGTGAATTAGATTCAGATGGATTTTCATAGTTTGCTACTTTTCTCAGTAGATCACTAACTATAGTCTCTTTGAGGCAAAATTTCATAGATGGATGGGAAGCGGAGGGTGCTTCACTGGCCGTGTTTGTTAAAGGAAAAAAAGTTGTTGATTTATGGGGTGGATACGCCGATGTACAGGCTGCTAGGAAATGGAGAAAGGTAGGTACTGCTTCGAGGAAAAATTGTCAAAATAACTCACAAGGTTTAGGACACACTGAGTGTTGTGTTCTCTACAACGAAAGCAGTGGCAGCGGTTTGCATAGCGCTTCTAGCAGATCGAGGAAGGTTAAAATACGACGATCTCGTTTCCAAGCACTGGCCAGGATTCGCTAAAAATGGGAAGGGGAACATCACTATTGAATGGGTGATGTCCCACATGGTGAGCCACTACTATTTTTCCGTTTGACCGTTGTAGAAATTGTTTGTAGGCAGGACTTCACTACTTTGACACGCCAGTCACGGAAAAAATGGCGAGGGATCACAACCTCATGAGAAAAATAATCGAGGATGAGACCCCTAAAATTCCTCCCGGAACAATCAGTGGATACCACACTTACAATTACGGATGGCTTGTTGATCAAATCATAAGGCATACGGATGAGAAGAAACGTGGAATTGGACAGTTTTTGAGAGAGGAAATCACCCAGCCCAATGGTAATTCAGTCAACTTCGCGCAACATTGTTTTTAGTCTATTTTCCAAAGCCAAGTGAGCGCATCTTTGAGGGTTGTTGAATTATTTTTCAAAGATCTTAGTAATACCAAACATAGCGATTTCGTAAAAAATTTCACAAGATTTCTGCGAAGCTGACAAACATGATCATTGCAGTTTTCTCAGGGCTGAGATCCTAGTTCTGGGACCTACTTGTTTTAGATCGTGTTCAGCCTTACGTAAATTTTTGCCCAGTTTCACTTCTCACAAAGCTTGCTTTGCTTGTCTAATAGTCCCCATACACTTTTTTCACTTTGCCACAGTAGCACTACTTTCCCGACAACCCAATAAATCTGAATGAGTTTCATGAAACCAAAGTAGTTCTACATATACGGTATTCCCCTTTCAGGTATTGACTTTCATATTGGCTTGGATCTCAAGGAAGAATACCGAGTGGCTCGCGTAACTCCGCTTCCTGTTCTTGAAACAATACGAGAGATTATCAAAAATCCCCGTCTTGGCATCATGATATACAACCTAATCACTGCAAACAAGGTACGAGGAAATCTTTTTAGTTTCCTAAGATCATATCTGATCACTGCAAACAAAGTACTGCAAAACTTCTTATTCATCCCAAGATCATATGTGTTCTTTTCAGAACAGCCCCTTCGCGCGCTCCATCGCAAACCCATCATGGGCCGATATGGTCTCGAAATGTACCATAAATAACCCTGAGCACCATACCCTAGAACAAGCAGCAGCGTTTGGCATTGGAAACGCACGATCATTAGCACAGATTTTCAGCTTGGTATGTATTTCAAATGCAAACGTTTTGCCGATTTCCCGTATTTCAGTTTATCAACGGACGCATCGTCAGTGAAAAGACTCTGAAGCTGTTGGAAAAGCCTATAAGCAATGAGACGGACTATGTTATAAAACTGCCCATGGTCAAGGGACATGGCTTTTTCTACTATCCACCTGTAGTGGAAGGAGTAAGTCATGTAAGTTGCAGAGATAAGAAAAGGCCCCTAAATGAAATTTATTAGAAGTCAAAGTGACTTGAACTGTTGCCTGAGTATAACTTGTTACCGTCCAAGTGCAGCTCTTATTTAACCATGGGAGGGAAATTCAAATTCCGTTCGTGGGAGGGGATTTCAAATCCGTTTTCCCACCCGAGCGTGATTCTACCGCATGGACACTGATTGGTGCTCCCCGGGGAAGATTACGGTCTGGGCCGGAGCCATGAATGAATCATATGAACCGCCTCTCAAGCATCAAACTAAGGATAGATAGTATTCTCTTGGAAACCCAAGTAATCAGACTAGCTTGGAAACTGGCTTCTTCATGTTACCTGGTCGCAGTTTAGAAAAGTACGATGCTGGAATTAATAGAAGCGTGGCTAAATGGTAATCAATAAAAACTGATTTTCAGAAGCACCCAATAATAGGACATGCTGGTCACGGATGTCAGCAGGTAGTCATGGACTTGGATAGAAAAATCGTCATTGCTTACGTCACTAACGGAGTCAAGATGGGAATGTACGACGCCTGTAGAACTTATGCTCGTTTACATCATGCTGTTTACGATGTTATTAGGCGATCTTGATCTCGTTGTTGGTTCGCTGTACTTACAATCGGGTAATTTAGCTTGAAATAGGTTCTCCAAAGTGTTTTTCTTGTTTTTTCGACTAAAAGCGAATGCCAATTCTTTTACGTCAAATAAGCAAAATTTTTGTAAGAGAGCTATTTTGCTCAATGAGCCTGATTCAATGCAAAATTAAACATTTCATAACTAGAAAATCCTCAAAGGTATGGTTAAATCTGAAATGGAGAATTTTCAAATTCCGAATGATGTATCTGGAACGATGTATTTGTGACTTTTTACACCTTCTCATTCCCAGCTAACTCATAGATCTAAGAATTCTAATATTGATCGAAGTGAATGATGGATGAGATAAAACCTTTGGAGGAACCTAATATTTAGATCAGTCTAAAATCGCAGTGTTTTAATGTAATTATCTGCCATTCGTCTTGTTTACTCCATACCGTATGATCATGTAAAAGCCCAAGGCATCTTCTATATCTCAAAAGTAATACGGGAGTGTAACAATTTTTCTCATTTCGTAATAAATCTTTTATTTATATCGGAGTATTCCTATGGAGATCCAAAATCCACTTTTGTGATTGATGTTGTGACACTTGCTTTCGAAAGGCTTGATTCGCATTTGACTGAAACAGTGGTGATCTCTAGATGGGTTAACCTCAGAGGTGGCCCCGAGTTGTTAATGCATATGAAACTAAAATTCGGAATAAAGTGGATGCGTAGGAGGTGCGAGATTTGTGCTTTTAACCTGAAATATTAGGTTGGTCCAAAAGTTCTTGCGCATCGGTTTCAAAAAATCGTAACTTCTTTGCCACTCAATGCATTTCGTTGAAATTATATCTATTCGAAAGAGGAGTCCATGTTCTTTACAGCGGTATCTTCGACATGAATCACTTTGAAAAAATACGAGAGTTACAAGCAGTTGAAGGAAATCAGTCAAAATTGGCGTTTTTCGCGCTCACGCAAAATTCTGGAAGTGTTTTCATTTGATAGAGAAAATTATGCTCATCACAATGGTACTTCTTCCATGAGTTGGAATGAAAACGATCGAGAGTTAGGAGCAAATAAAGAGAATTCCTTCAGTTTTGCAATTTTTGAGCATGCTCAAAAAAGCCCAGAAACGTCACAGAAAATACGGAGAAGTCATGAACGTGGGTATTGTGACATTCTCTTTCTAGCTGAGCAAGTTTCGATCTAGACGAGAGCAATTTTGTTTTTTGTGGTTTTTTCGGATTTTCGGGCCTGCATTTTTCACGAAAATCAAAATTGCTCTCGATTAGCACGATTTCCGCTTAGCTAGAAAGAGAAGGTCACAAAAGCCATGCTCATGACTTTAGCGTTTTTTCTGTAACGTTTTTAAGCTTTTTTGAGCATGCTCAAAAATTGCGAAACTGCAGGAATTCTCTTTATTTGCTCCTAACTCTCGATTTTTTTCATTTCAACTCATGGGAAAAGTACCAATGTGATGAGCATAATTTTCTCTATCAAATGAAGCTTCCAGAATTTTTCGTGACCCAGCTCGAAAAATGCCAATTTTGACTGATTTACTTCAGCTGCTTGTAACTCTCGCATTTTCTCAAAGTAATTCATGTCGAAGGCGCCGCTGTAAAGAACATGGACTCCTCTTTCGAACTCATATAATTTCAACGAAATCCATTGATTGGCAAAGAAATTATGTTTTTTTGAAAACGATGCGCAAGAACTTTCGGACCATTCTAATACATTGAGATTCAGTTTCTGGGTGAATCAAGAATCTGTCCAAAGTTTCCGCTTTACACAGTCATGAATCTTGTTCAGCTTTACCACTTCTTTTTTCCTACTAAACAAGTTGTTCAAACACTACCTCGTTTAGTCAGCACATCTTTCTAAATTTTACCTGCAGACAAAAGGAGGTGAATTTAGTAGCTGAGACAACCTCAATACTTGCATGTGTTGGCATCAGAAGTTTTAAATAAAGCCCTCTCCCCTTCTGACTAGTCAAAATCGTACGAAAATTCCTCCACTCATTGGTGTCTGAAAATAAATGCTTTGGCAACGAACAGTGATAGCGACAAACCATAAAACAGTTTTTTTTTCAGAGAAGATTAGAGCAATGAACTGAAAGACCTCTTTTTCCCACGAGTCTTCTTTGAGAATGTTCAATGATTTATACACTGATTATGTAACATTTCCAGTGGAAATTCTAGTGTTGCAAGTGAATTGGTTTTTATTCAATTTCGATTTGAGAAAGAATTTTTAAGTAACAGTTTGCACGCGTTCCTGGTTGCAAAAATTCGCCGATCAATGAATGGCAGCTCGAGTGTTGCCATTGTTGTTTGAACTATGTCAGTGGACAAGAAGAATGTCTCAGTACTGCGTCCGACCAATTTTTCGAAGTTCATTTGCTTATGACTGATTTTTACACGTGTATGTTTAGAATCACTCGTTTCATTATTGTTCAAAACTAGCTGGGCACTTTTAGGAAATTTCCTCGATTTTTCTGAGTTATGATTTGGCAAACTATAGCCTAATATAAAGCCATAGTTGTCCATTTTCCACTAAACTACAGTTAAATAGTCCTTGTTCTTTTATGTAATTTTCGACGACTATATCGAATCAATTTGGAGAGTATCGCGAATATTCATTTTCATATGACTACATCCTTCACACCGGAATCATAGCCAGGGCACGGTACGAGGCGGCTTTCCGAAAATGCAGAGCTCGAAGTTCCCCCTGATCGCAAAATTTCACGAAGTCCCCTTTGTTTACCCGAAACATCCTAATCAACTAAAAAAAGAAACATCTACTAAAAAACCTAATTCCGGATCCACAAAAACGATATTCCTCGTGCGTTTTGTCCCAAAACGATATCCAGCTTGCTTATAAGCCACCTGTGCCAAACCCTGATCATAGCCTATTTATGACTGAGTCTGTGCTCTTAACTAGACAAGGTTGTCCGATAAGTCCATGAAACATCTTATAAGAGCAAGTTTTTTGAGATTTACAAATCATTCGCTTTTGCGATTCAAACATTCTTCTAGCTTATTCGTCATTTCAACTTCATACAATACGCCGCGAAGTGAACTAATGCTGAAAGAAATCTGAGCAAGAATAAGCTTCTCTCTAAGCCAGTTGCTGACTCTGATCATTTTGTCGAATGCAGAATAAACTCGGATTTTAGCTTGCCAAATGAGATTAACAGACCCACAAATCAAAAAACGTTTCTTTTTTCGTAGTCTTATAGTAGAATGCGTAGCAGAAGTAAACAAAAACTTTTTTATTTTTGCAATGATTTTGGCTATGATCCTCAAGGCTTCTTTAGTTGCAAGCTTTGCGTTCATGATTTTAGTGAGGGTTTTGTCTACAAACAAAAAGGTTATCAATCCATTCTCTAATTTCTTCTGGGCAAGCGTGCAGTGATCGCCCACACCAAAAAAACGACAACATTTTTTTCGCTTGCTGTTAGTGCTGTCCTGAAAAGAGGCATTACTCACAAAATCACTTCTGCTGCTTTCTTGCCATTAATTTACCTTATCAGTTGAAGTATAATAAACCCTGAACCTCATTACTGATTGTATCTTACTGCATGCTGGCTAATATCTATGCTCTTTAACTGGTATAGCACAAAACACTTCTTTCTTAATTTAATCCTATCCCATTGCACTTCAAGGGACGAACTGCTGTATTTCATTTGCATTCTGCAGCTCCGGTGGTAAACAGCAAGAATCGGATGTTGTTTTGTAGCCATCGGCCAGCAACTGCAAAGAATTAAACACAAATTTGAGACGACCGGGTTCTTATCACTGCTTTGATACAGACAAATTGATTGCTAAACTCTTACTCTGCTTATTTTACTCCTCAAACAAAGGACGTATTTGATTTCCAGAAAAGCTTATAGCCTTCACTTCAATCCAACCAGTGTGATATTTCGTGGGATTGTTTTCGTTGAGCATAGAATGTTTTTCCTTTACAAAGAATTTCCCTCTTTCTCTTTTTTCACCTAATCGCTGATGTCTTAACATGTTCCATTTTGAAAAATTTTTTTGGTATGATCTGCAAGTGAGTTTGTTATCTTCATGTCAGTTCTTTTGAACTTTAACATAACAAAATGCGTAAATAATGAGCTGCATCGGCAATTCTTATCCTTTTAGTATATGGTTTTCCTCTATCATACATCCCTATTTCCCGGTCCTGGTCCTTTTTTCGGGATTGTTGAACAGGTGTAGCAAAATTCTGATTTGTGGTAGACGCTGTGTTGTACAAAACCAGTTTCCATAGGTGGTTGTTGGTTGTCAGAGATTTTTTCTTCATGTCGAAAGTGGTTTGTATTCCATACTTTGCTCCTTTTCACAATTAGAATGTCAAAAATTGATTTTATATTTTTGCTGCGAACCAATCCCATTTTTACAACATACTTCGATAGCCCATTTACTTTTTCAAACTTAAGAAAAGCCAAATATATTCAGAAAACCCCGCGTCTAGTACAAAGACTGTATTTCTAAACAAGGCTAGATTTTACAGCAAAAAATCTGTGGCGTTTCATGTCAAATTTACGCCTTTAACAACAGACTTGTTTCCCCTCACAACGCACTGTGTTGGTTTCAATAAATTTTATTTGCGCAACATGTAGTATCATTCCCTGCTCAGAGCACTACCTAGTAAGTCCGAACTTGTCTGTTCCCTCACTTTCAGTGTTAAGAAATATCTGAGATAAGCTGAAACACAAGCACGAACATATGCACATATGCTTTGCATTTTGATATGTGGTGTTAGAATTAATCTGTTCTCTTGTCTCGCTTTCCGTCGATGGCTTTCCTTCCTTTGATATACTACGACTACTTTTATAGCTTCTCTTCTCTGGTCTCAATCACATAATTCGATACGTTTTGATTTTCCCAGGGCTATTCCAGAATACCCGACCCAAAAATGAAAAATCTCGGATTTCGCGAGAATTTTGTACATAAGGGTTATTTGGCATGCTGATCACGAAAATGATATTCATTTCGTGTAGTAGGGTCTTTTATGGAGGTTACTGTAGGCATACGGTATGGGGTGAAAATCACAGATCTTGCTTAAACTCTGCGCAGGGAGGTTAGTTGACATGTTGATTACGAATATCACGCTTTTCCCGCACGAAAACGTCTCCTTGTATGATTATGGTAGGTATACGGTAGGGGGTCAAAGTTCTAGATTTCGCTGGAATCTGGTTTAGAGTGGTTATTCAACAGGCTGAACACGTATACTATATCAAACTCGCACGGTAGTGCCATTTTCTAGGTCACTATGGGCATACGTTAGTTATATCAAATTCCCAAATTTGCCCAAAACTTGAACCTACCGTAACTCTGCAAAGATCCCAAAACGCGAGGAAACTACGATGATCGTGATCACTGTTGAATAACCACTATAGAACAGATTCCAGAACCCAAATTTAGAACTTTGACCCGACACCGTACACCTAGTAATTAGACAGGGAGACGTTTTTGTGCACAAAAAATGTGATATTCGCAATCAGCATTTCGAATAACTCAAGATTTTCAATAGGACCTGATTGTGAGATTTTGACCACATACCGATGCAGCATGCCAAAAAATCCTTATGTACGAAGTTCTTGTGCCGACATTGTCGGCAGTTCCTTACAGCCGTGCCATTCCCATTCCGGATTACCGTAAAGGTCATGCCATAAGCATGACCTGCTGTGATATGAGTGCATTTATTGCTCAGATGAGCGTCAACTTACTTTGCTCCGCCTGTAATCGTTAGCATTCTACCACTGCGCCCATGAGCGAAAGTCGTCTGTCTCAATAAAGCTACCTACAGCTTATGTGTTCTGTATAACACACTTCAACAGGCGCTATACCGCCTCAGGCAACGTTAACACGCGTTAGCCACCAGAATCATCGATACATTTGGTGCATCGGCTAAAACCAGACCGATACCATGCGCTCCCAAGGACAAAACAAACGCCACAATGGAGCAATGATCACTCTGTATCGCCAAATGGAAGATGTGAAGATGTACGCCAAGAGACTAGCGGAACTACTACGAAAGTACGCGAGCCATGGTGAGACAATTATACTTCCAGACGATGAACAAGAGCGACGAAAAGTATGCATCGACAAACTGCGCGTACTACCAACCTGCATATTCGACATCCTCCTGGGCTTACACTTGGTACGATCGGAAAGCGACGTGCTAAGGAAGCTGCACCAAAGCGAGAAGTGTAAACTTACAAAGCAACTGATGGCACAAGATTTGGATACATTCAACAAAGAGATAAGTCACTTCCAAATCGCTACCGATGCCCAGATGTTTATTGACACGCTAGAAGAACGTGAAACTGATGCAAAAACAGAACTGGAAAACATGGAAGTTAGAAAACATTCCTCCGCAATAATGTGGAAGTAGGAGTGAGCAGATGTTGCCCAGAAATCAGACGGGCAGCCAAATTTTGGCAGAACTAGGCGCTATCTCAACCGATAAGCCAACGATGAAAGAAGCAATTCCAACAACTGAAGATGAAAACGAAAGTGACGAGGGCAAAGGCGAAATTCCCAACTGCAAATTCTCGGCCTGTGGAGATCCCATGCATAACCTAACAGCATGTGAAGGTATTGCCACCCCAGCCCTGATACAGGTCACGACGCCTAAGGCAACTGCTCGGAAGATTGTCGGCAAAAGACATTTACAACAACAGGACCTCAGCTGCACCGATATGGAGGGAACAAAGCTGGACCTCTATTGTGTTCGAACTGAAAACGTTAATGTGGATTTACTTCAGTATCAGCGTCCAATTTCCACATCAACTTCTCCACAAGATCGTGCTCTCCACTGTACCACCTCTAGCATGGGCCATATTTTCACCTGTCTGCCAACTCGACAACGTCCACTGCGATATCCCGGCAAAGAAAGCAGTTCTGATATAGATATGTACATATTATTCTCGTGTTTCATCTCGTCGTTCTCATTTCTCCTGCTGGCCGGAGTGTGCCGACATGGTCGGCACTTCCTTACAGCCGTGCCATTCCCATTCCAGATTACCGTAAAGGTCATGCCATAAGCATGACCTGCTGTGATATGAGTGCATTTATTGCCCAGATGAGCGTCAACTTACTTTGCTCCGCCTGTAATCGTTAGCATTCTACCACTGCGCCCATGAGCGAAAGTCATCTGTCTCAATAAAGCTACCTACAGCTTATGTTTTCTGTATAACACACTTCAACAGGCGCTATACCGCCTCAGGCAACGTTAACACGCGTTAGCCACCAGAATCACCGATCAGAAATGTAGTGGCTTACGTACGTTGACGTAGCCGTAGGCGTAGTTGTCGCCTTGGTAGGGATATCTGCAGGTGTGGACAGTGCACTAGCCTGGCAGATTTATTGAGTCAGACGACTTGTCCGCATTGGGACATGGTAGAATGCTGACGATTAAAGGCGTGGCAAAGTAACATAACAAACATCTGGCTATAAACACACTCGTATCACAGCAGGTCATGCTTATGGCATGACCTTTACGGTAATCTGGCGAAAGAGTGATAGGCTACAAAGAGAGGTGCCGATTACATCCGCACAGTTCTAGCGCAATCCGAGGTTTTTCATTTTTATTGCTGAAATAGTACCGATTTGGCTTCTGAGAAGGAAGAAATTCTTGCTAAAATTTGCATGTATAGATTTTCAATTACAGATGGGTTTGCTGCGATACGCAGCTTTTTTCGGCGTTTCTGCCCTATTGATTCGGTATGGTTTGTATATGCTTTACACGAAACATCCCATTCATGTCGATGGAGAAATTGACAGCAAGTTTGATGGTGTTCAAAAAGCTTTTGAGTAAGTGATTAAAGCCTGGACTCTGTCACTGGGATCAGACAATGCTTATTGGAGGCAAAATTTTGAAGATGGATGGGAAGCAGAAGGTGCTTCATTGGCAGTGTTTGTGAAAGGACGAAAAGTTGTTGATTTATGGGGTGGGTACGCCGATGTACAGGCTGCTAGGATATGGAGAAAGGTGAGCGTTACTTAAAAAAAGACTCGTGTCTTAAATAATTAATCATATGCAGGATACCATGAGTGTTGTATTCTCTACCACAAAAGCAGTAGCGGCCCTTTGCATAGCGCTTTTAGCAGATCGTGGAAGACTAAAATACGGCGATCTTGTTTCCAAGCATTGGCCGGGATTTGCTAAAAATGGAAAGGGAAACATTACCATCGAGTGGGTGATGTCCCATATGGTGAGCTTTTACTAGCCTTCTTTTTGACAGTTGTAAAGATTGTTTATAGGCAGGGCTTCACTACTTTGACACACCAGTCACGGAAGAAATGGCAAGGGATCATAACCTGATGCGAAAAATAATCGAGGACGAGGTTCCCAAGATTCCTCCAGGAACCGCCAGCGGATACCACACGTACACTTATGGTTGGCTAGTGGATCAAATCATAAGGCATACGGATGAGAAGAAACGTGGAATTGGACAGTTCCTAAGGGAGGAGATCACTCAACCCAACGGTAGTCTAATTTTGATTTAGGGTCTCCCATTGAGTTATCAGTGAGTTGATGAGTTTCTAGCAAACACTAACATCCTCTGCAGTTTTAAAACAATGTAACTGGCTCAACACTAAGGTTATTTATTGCGCACATAGACATCCAAGTTGATTGTTTCAAAGACGACCGAATAGGTTTAGAATCATCGATAGTTTTCGAAAGCTATGCCATATTCAGCCATTGTGATAATGAAATGTGAAAAAATTTGATGTGCGCGCGTTTCAGCAGCAATTTGAAAAGGCATAAGCTTTAATAAGATAGAAGCAAGTGAGTAACAGATTAGATTTGTAAAACATCTTTCACTGTGTCATGCGCATCTGATGTTCTGAAAGAGTGAATGCAAGACATTCAGTCAAGAAGGTGGTAAGAATCTACCCAAACAATTTACCTTGGCTTGTTTCACGCTCTCGAAAAAACTTACGCATGAACATATAGTAGTTTCGAACAAAATCTTTCGAAAATAGATTACAGGGAGTGAAAATCCAGCCTCCATACCAAAATCCGTTTCTTTATCCCAAAATTTATGGAAATCCTACTGATATGACACTTTCATGTATTCAGTAAATTGTCTACTTCATCGAAGCCGAATAAATTTTATCGCATGAAGTTGATTATGGTATTGGTGGCTTCTCAGATCAGCTAGATTAACAAAAATCAAATCATGTGTCGCCAAACCCACTGTTGAAATCAGCATTCAGGCATTGACTTCCACATTGGCTTAAATCTATCCGAAGAATACCGTATGGCTCGAGTAACCCCGCTTCCTGTTATGGAAGTAATAAGAGAAATAATAAGGAATCCCCCGGTTGGCATCATTATATACAACATTATGACAGCTAACAAGGTATACTTACAGAAAAAGTCAGTTTCTAGAAGAAAATGACTCTTTCGTTTTTTCTAGAATAGCCCGTTTGCGCGCTCTATCGCAAACCCGTCGTGGTCGGATATGGTCACGAAATGTACCATAAATAACCCCGAGCACCATACCCTAGAACAAGCAGCAGCGTTTGGCATCGGAAACGCACGATCTTTAGCACAGATTTTCAACTTGGTAATATGACCTATAAGGTGTTCTTAAAATAAGTAATTTCATTTTAGTTGACTTTTAGTTTGTCAACGGGCGCATCGTCAGTGAAAAGACTCTCAAGTTCTTAGAAAAGCCGGTAATCAACGAGACGGACTATGTGACACAAGCGCCAATGGTCAAAGGACATGGTTTCTTCTATCGTCCACCAATTGGAGGAGTAAGTCATGCACTAAAAAACCAACTCCACTTCAAAAGTCGCTACCAAAAAAGGACCCGGGAGGTGATGGCCCCAATAACTCTCGCAAACCAAGTCCCCTTTAACTACGAAGGAGATTACGACTTGCCTTATAAGGACCTCAGAGGGCAATACCAAAATGGAGAAAAACCCGAACAAAAAAGCACGATACACATCCCAAAGAAGTAATGATATTAAAGTTGCTTTGGCGCCATGTTGTTTCTATCAAGCATCACCTCGCGCCGGCAGCAAGATTTTCTTGGGGCTGTAACTAAGCAGAGGAGGAGAGAAGAGGCTGTTAAAGAGTCAGTTTATGAAACTCACGAGTCAGATAGTTGTGTAAAAGAGGTGAAGCAATTATGTGAGAAAACGAAATCTTGGCTTTGTTTTCGGTCCACCACCGGCGCCTTGGCCCCTTAACTCTCAAAAAGTTCTGCACACCTCTGATTCACATAAATTTTCCATAAATTTCCTCAAATTGTTCCAACTCCCTTTCGGCTGTATGCACCAGATTCTGCATCAAAGCATTTCTGTTCGTTGTAAGCAAGCCATTTGTTTATTGTGGAGCACAGTTTTATATCCATTGTACCGAAAATATTGGAGTTAGAAACTGTAGCTTTAAGAAGGAGGGCGTGCAGGAGTTCCTAGCACCTTTCCTCGCACCAACTTCGCACCAGCATTCGCACCCAGGAGGGTTCTAGCACCTTCGCGCCTCAGAGGTCAGTCTCCGCCCATTGCTCCACCCATTCACTGGCCTCATTGTGAGGTGAGCCAGCAGCGAAAACATAGATTCACTTATTAGATAATATGAGCAAACATGGAGATGAACGAAAAACATAGTTATCATCCCTCAGGTGAGAAGGCCTGGGAAACTTCTGCTGCGCCAACCTTTCAAAAATGAATACAGGAACATTATCCTCAGAAGAGAAAAAATGCACAGAATTTTTTTGAGTAGACGCCCATTCGAAATATCAGAGGATCTAGTTCTTCAGTTGTATCTTACTGGTCATCTGATTGAACTGATTTAGCACCAAGAATTTTTGATAAATGGGTGACCAGAAGTGGCCAAGAACCCGATTACCTTCTCAAAATTAGAAGAACCTATTTTGAAAGGAGCATATCAAAGTTTCCGGATAATCAACTCAACGTTTTCTGTAATAGCTAGGATATTTGAAAACATACACTTTCCTGCTTCCGTCTGCCATCATATATTCCAACTCAACTGCACACTAACGATCAATAAAATCCAAATTATCAGAAATTTTCAAGTGTAGTGTTCCCTATAATCGATGTACTAGAATAACAAACTTCGTCGCATGATCAAGAGTTGGCTAAGAGTTCCAAACACGACACTAAATTTGAAAAATATGGTATTCGTATATTCTTAAATGAATTTTAGAGCGTGCGTGAATTTGCTGTCGCTTCTATATCTTTAGCTGGAAGACTCATAACTTCTGTTTGATTTATATTAATGATTTATATTTTTACTTTGTTTTACTATGATATGCTTCATAAGCTCACTCAAACGCGAGTACTTACAAGTTTTTAAGAAAGCGTAATTTGATCCGAAAACATGACTAAAACATGACTCGAAATGCCGAAATTTAGCTGCAGTTATTTACGGATTCTGTATCCTCATAGAAACCTAGTTTTTTGTTTGTTTCTTGATTTCAGTTCGATTATTATCATATACAATGAAGCACGTCTTAGCGTACGAGTACACAATTTAGAATGAGGGCGCCTAGAGGAAGGAGTGATGGGCGGAGCCGCCCTTTGACATCGAGAAGGTGTGATGTCCTCCAAGGGATTTCTGGAGGTGCCAAGTACCCCTGCGAGAAAAAGCGGCTTGGCTTTAGGAACTCCTGCCACGCCGCCGCTTTAAGAATATAAAAATGTGTAGGCGTTGATGAATGCGGCGGGGGAAGGGTATACAGAGAGGAGAGATGAAAAAAAGTGATTGTGGGTGGGGGAGGGGGTGTTGCATATTTATGTAGATATTCTCCAGCAGCCAGCGACCCTGCGAAAACAATATCTCCTTTTTTTACTCTCAAGGAGGTGTCCAGCTCCCGTGCCACCTGTGGAAGGGGGCGCAAATTTCTCACCCGAGCCATGCTCTCGCACCTAGGTAATGTATCTGCCAGGCACATTCGGGCTCGCTATAATTCTGAGGATGCCAGGTCATTGCCGCCCCGCTCCTTTATCCAGTGTCGCTTCAGATGCTGTGGATTTCGAAGAAAGTTTTAAAATCGAAGTCCAACAGCGAAATTGCTCCAATCAAGACGAAATTTCGGATTTAGGGGATTTCGGAACTTCCTTTTTTATAACAAACCAAAGTTCAGATTTGCGGGTTCTCCAAATCGCTTATTCGATAACGATGTATGTTTTGCGCAATATCAATAGCGATTTGATTCTCTTAACATTTTTTAGACAAAGAGTGTTTAGAAAATCAGAGGAAAAAAAATGTTCGTCTCACAAAAACCGGATTATTTCCTCAGAAACGAAATGCCAAATGCAGAAATACGTATGTGTTTCGTATTGATTTTTTACGAAATTCATTTTCATGAATAGGTAGAGCACTGATGATGACCAATTCAAGTACTTCTTTAACTAGCACAGATCGCTGAACTCGCTGAGACTGTCGCAATCCCAGAAAACGGTGGACCTAGAAAGCTCGGAATGGTGTCAAACAGCAGAGAATTCATTATTTTGAGAACAAACAAATTCAAACCTAGTTACGGGTAATTTTTTCATTCATAATCTTTCAAAAACGCGTATACCTGAATTTTCGTCCTGTTTTTGAAAATTTTGGTTGAGTCCGAATTTAGATCTCGGTTGGACACGCTGCTGGACTTTGACTTTGCAACAAACAACTTCCATTGATGAAAAGAGCAACCTTGAAACCCCTAAGTCCAAATTGGGTCGAATTGGAGCAATCTCGTTACTGAACTTAAACTTCGATGTTGAAACTTTCTCTGAAATCCCGCTTCCAGCATATGAAGCAACACTGGGCAGGGCTTGCATTGTTTTGTATCCTGAGTAGACCGTAATCATTTATAGCTATTCTGAATGTGCCTGGCAGGCACATCACATTCGGGAATATGGCTCGGGTAAGAAACTTTTCGCACCCCTTGTGGAACCGATTATCGAAAAAGTTTATCTTGTCCGTATTACAATTCCCCCTTTGGCAGAAACGAAGTGTTTGAATTTTTGAACGGCTTTTTCGGAAGTAATCCCAATCAAAAAGGTCAAGAATGTTGTAATGACAGTTCAATTATACGGCTAGAATATAACACAATTTACATCTTTCACGTTTACCTGGTGACTTTGCTGTAGCGATTAAGTACTTATTTTGCCCAAAAAACGTCTTTTTTGGACACAGAGCATCTGATACATTTTGTGCCTAGTAAAGGTGATATTGAGGATACTAATCAAAGCTATCGTTTTCCAGAATCTGCCAATAATAGGACATGACGGTCACGGATGTCAACAATTGACCATTGACTTGGAGAGAAAAGCCGTCATAGCTTACGTCACCAATGGGGTGAAGATGGGAATGTATGACACCTGCAGAACTTATGTTCGTCTACATAACGCTGTGTACGACGTTATTAAGCATTCATGATCACGTTCAAGTCTATCGTCCATTTTTGCTCGGGTATTTTAGCTTGAAAATAGGGCTAAAAGCCTTTTTTTGTTGAGAGTTGCCAAGTCCCTTGAATCGAAAGAACCAAGAAGCAAAGATCTTTAGTGTGAATTTTCTCTCCTGTAAGCACTTTGTGACTACGTTTTTGGAGTTATGCAGCCCGTTGTATCTGAATGTTAGCAGCATTCGGAAGCACGCCTCAGAAAGAATTTTTTGGAAATCTTTGCTGAGTGCTGTGTTTTGGAGGTAGAGCTCATAGGGATTGATCTGCGACACTTTGCAAACATTCCGTATAGTTTTGTTTTCTCTGGCTAAATGTGTTTTTTATTCAAAGAAATTCTTTGTGTTTATTTTGGATTTGCAAATTGCAACAGTTTAGAGCAAGAAAGTTCTAAAAGTGACTCAGTATTTGATAGGTAGCACAGGATTTACAGCGTTGAACATCATCAACTCCGTTAATTTGTTACTTTTATCGTTTAATGACGTTCAGAACCTCAAGAATGCCTACGTCATCTGATTTTTGTTTGCATATGTATTATAAGATATACGGGGGCCCACGATCCCCTCAGTTGTTGGTGTAATAAATTTATCTAAGTTTAGCTTCTTTGACGTCCAGTTTCTATGTTTGTATTTCACATAATAATTAGCCAATAGGACTTCTAATCGAAACGGCATTCGGATGATCAACTAACCCACTGAATTATCCAGAAAGACACAAGCGAGGAGATACAAAGTTTGTAATCGCACAAGTTTTGTTTACATATTATGACTTCTCAAAGTATAGGTTGTCACGATTGATCAATTTGGTCACGTGAAAATTGATTCCGATTCGTCTTCCAATACTTTGACAATAAAGAGAATGCTTATAGTCCTTGTTTGCTCTGATAAATTTGCCGTGGTCCGGCTCGGCTTTGGGATCTCATATACCAAATTTGAGGGCTTGAAAGACGTTCTCAATGATATGATTTGCGCAAACTATAGCCTAATGTAAAGCCATAGCTGTCCATTTTCCACTAAACTACATGTTAAATACAGTGCTGGCCAAAACTATAGATCCACTATAAAAAACTGCCGTAGTTCATCTGCTTTTTAACGAATTGATCTGAAATTTGGTACAGCTGTGTGTTCAACAGGCTTTCATCAGTGACCGGAGCGGATCCCGCTTTCGTTAGATTATTCAGGAGAAAAATCAAAAATTTCGAAAAAAGCAGGCTCGAAGGTTGGCCAAAACTATAGATCCACCTAAAATTTTTGTCCGCTAAAGTAATTCTCGACTTCCAAAGTCTTTTGTGCATATACATAGTCGAAAGTCAAAGCAGTGGCTTTAGTCCAGCTGCGACATACTTTAATAAGAAACGCTTATCTGCTCTTTTTACTTAAAAAATACTTTCACGCGTTTTTGTTCCCGAGAATGTGTTCTTATGGCTAATTTCGCAGTTTCTTGACTGGTTTGGAACCGATAGGTCTCCATCCATCTTATAGATGCTCAGCAGTGTGAGCAGTAAAAAAAAATTCGAGTTTTCGTATTCAAAGCGCACCCGACATAGACTTAGCCGCGGGCCTGCGCTCGAATTTTTGCCTTCAAAATTGGTGTACGCTATTTTTGCAAGCTCAAAATGATGTAGAAACATTATTTAGCATTATTTACACAAAAGAAGTTTGCAAGTCATAGTCACGATTGTTCGCGAAGTCGCATTTCAACACCTTTTCAAAGCATAAGTCTTGCGGTGTGTTCGGCAATTTCAAAGTACTTACTAAATGGTACCTTCCTTGAGTTTTGCCATTGTTTAGCTGCTAATTAGTGAATACACCCTCTACTGTATGTTGTCTTGTGACTCACATAAGCATTATGATCAGAACCAGAAATAACTTTGTGGCTTGTTGCAAATCACTTTTTTGCAGGATGAAGTCCTCAGTTAGCATGCATAATGGGATCTGCATAGACCTGCAACCACTGCATACGCACTCTAATACATACCAACAATGTCATTACTCCAGTTCACGCTCATGACAACAATCCAGAAAGAGTTTGAAGGGAAAAATTCGAGCGAAGGCCCGCGGCTAAGTCTATGTCGGGTGCGCTCTGAATACGAAAACTCGAATTTTTTTTTACTGCTCACACTGCTGAGCATCTATAAGATAGATGGAGACCTATCGCTTCCAAACCAGTCAAGAAACTGCGAAATTAGCCATAAAAACACATTCTTGGGAACAAAATACGCGTGAAAGTATTTTTTTAAGTAAAAAGAGCAGATAAGCGTTTCTTATTAAAGTATGTCGCAGCTGGACTAAAGCCACTGCTTTTACTTTCGACCACGTATATGCACAAAAGACTTTGGAAGTCGAGAATTACTTTAGCGGACAAAAATTTTAGGTGGATCTATAGTTTTGGCCAACCTTCGAGCCTGCTTTTTTCGAAATTTTTGATTTTTCTCCTGAATAATCTAACGAAAGCGGGATCCGCTCCGGCCACTGATGGAAGCCTGTTGAACACACAGCTGTACCAAATTTCAGATCAATTCGTTGAAAAGCAGATGAACTACGGCAGTTTTTTATAGTGGATCTATAGTTTTGGCCAGCACTGTAGTCCTTGTTCTTTTATGTAATTTTCGACGATGTCGAATCAATTTGGAGAGTGTTTCCTTAATATTTATTTTCATAAGACTACATCCTTCGCACCGTAATCATAGCCAGGGCACGGCACAAAGTGGCTTTCCGAAAATGCAAAAATCGAAGTTGCCCCTGATCGCAAAGTTTTACGAAGTCCCCTTTGACCCTAACCCGAAACATCCTAATCAACTAAAAAACGAAACATGGACTAAAAACCTAATTCCGGACCCACAAGAACGATATTCCCCTTGCGTTTTGTCTCAAAACGATATCCAGCTTTTTTATAGGCCACCTGTGCCAAGCCCTGATCATAGCCTTTATTCATGACTAAGTCTGTGCTCTTAACCCCGACAAGGTTGTCCGATAAATACATGAAACATCTTATAAGAGCAAGTTTTCTGAGATTTACAAACTATTCGTTTCAAGATTCAAGCATTCTGCTAGCTTCGTCATTTCTTCAAACATTACGCCGCGAAGTGAACTAATGCTGAAAAGTAATTTAAGCAAGGACAAGCTCCTCTCTAAGCCAGTTTGCTGGTCTTTGATCATCTTGTAATGCAGATGAAGCCCAGCTTTTAGCTTGTCAGATAAGATTACAAACCTAAATCAGAAAGCTTCTTTCCTCTTTTCGTAAACGTCTTATAGTAGAATGCGTGGCAGAAGTAGACAAAAACTTTATTATTTTTGCAATGATTTCGGCTAATCTCCTCACGGCTTGTTTAGTTGCAACTTTGCGTTCAATAACTTGTATATTTCTTCGCTTTAACATTCATGATTTTCTTAAGAATGTTTTATCCCCAAACAAGTTTATCAATCCATTCTTATCTAATACTTACTCCACAAAGCTGGCATAAAGAGTGCAGTGTTTGCCTACACTAAAAAAACGGCAATATATTTTTACTACTTGCTTAATGCTGTCTTGAAAAGAGGCATTACTCAAAAAATCACTTAGTTGCTTGTCTTCCCATTACCTAACCAACTTGAAGTACAATAGACCTTCAACCCATTAGTACTGTTATCTCACTGAACGCTGGGTAATGTCTGTGTTCCCCAAATGGTATAGCACAAAACACTTCTTTCCTAATTAATCCTATCCCATTGCGCTTAAAGGGCAAATTAAATTGCTGTATTTCATTTGTATTCTGCAGCTGCCCATGGTCACCAGGAATCAGATGTCGTTTTTTAGCCATCGGTCAGCAAAACTGCAAAGAATTAAACAAAAATTTGAGACGCCGGGTGTTGATGATTTCTGTATCATCAACCATTGATGAACTCTACATTCTAGACAGCCTACGGAATACCCGTAGGCTAAATTGTGAGCTACGCACTCTTGAGTATCTAATCACTCAAGAGTGAGTGGTACCTGTGCGCCAGGAGTGTAGCCAATCGGCGGCACCTCCTTTCAAGCACCAATTCGTGTACATTGTACCTTTTACTCGGTTCAGCTCCGCCTTCCTTCCTATATAAGGAGCCTCCGATTGTATTAGAGGTTGCTCCCCGGTCCACACCGGGACACCTCACCCCTCTTCACGACTAATCTACGCCAGTGCGAATAAACTATATTCCACAACCTCGTCTAACCCTAATCACTTGGTACCCACCAAATTGGTGCATCGGCCAGTGATTTTCCTTGTATTCCCTCGGCGATTCCTTCTAAGGACCCAGGAAATCAAGGCCTAAGACTCGCGTGGCAGGCTCTATTGCCAACTATTCGACTCTCATGATTGCTGGTTCACCCACTTTCGCGACTAAGAGTCTTACTAAGCTGTCAGGTCTTATCCACAGTTTAGTAGAGGTTTCTAGCTGACTGACTGGTTCATCCACAGCTAGCGACAGACTCCTCGCACTCTCGGCTACTAATTAGCCAAAATTCGACTCTAGTAATTGTTGGTTCATCCACCTTTACTAAGACGAGTCTTGCTAAGCTATCAGGTCCTATCCATAGCTTAGCAGAGGTTTTCTAACTAATTGACTGGTTCATCCACAGTTAGTAACAGAACTCCTCGAAATTTTTTTGGCTTCCATTAGCCAAAAAAGACTCTGTGATTGCTGGTCCATCCACTTTCACATCGAGAGTCATCTTGCGAAGCTATCAGGTCATACCTATAGCCTAGCAAAGAGGTTTTTCTAGCTGACTGACTGGTTCACCCACAGTTAGCAACAAAAATCCTCGAACTTTTTTTGGCTTCCTTTAGCCAAAACACTCTGTGATTGCTGGTCCATCCACTTTCACAAGCGACTTTCATTTTGCGAAGCTATCAGGTCGTATCTATAACAAGGAGTTTTGCTAGCTGACTGACTGGTCCATCCACAGTTAGCAACAGAAATCCTCGAACTTTTTTGGCTTCCATTAGCCAAAAACACTCTGTGATTGCTGGTCCATCCACTTTCACAAACGAGTTTCATCTTGCGAAGCTATCAGGTCGTATCCATAGCTTAGCAAGGAGAATTTCTAGCTGACTGACTGGTCCATCTACAGTTAGCAAAGAAATCTCAACTTTCCAAGCTCATTCACGATTGGTTCACCGATCTTGAGCTTTGGATCGTTACATTCACGGGACAGGTTCCAACACCTTACCGTCCAGTACAGCGCACAAGCCAACCAGGCGCGCTTACTGACAGCTAGTAGACGCTCGGCACCCATTGCCAGCTCACTAGAAAGCTTCCTTGCAACCAGTAAGGACAGCTATCGTATCGAGGCTAGCCCTGCTGTCGCCCTCAAGCCAAAGCGACCAACAAAAGGAGGATACACACGTCCGAATTGGAACGCTTGGAATCACTACATCAGTGCACGACCCTACCCCGT